TTCCTTTCCATGGCTCCCCCACCCTTGAATTCCGAGACCAGGACGAGATACGGCAAGCTGCTGGGGTTGTGGCTAATGAATTCTGCAAGCAACAATGCCATAATGCATGTATGATGTCTGCAAAACACAGAACATTTCTGGGAGCGTCACAGCCCCTGTTCTAGGACCAGGGCCCATCCCATCAGCTTGAGCAAGCCTTCGTGGCTCGGAACATGGCCATCCAAAGTTTGGCACTGACATGGAGGCTTGCCTGTTCCCAGACCACTTGAGCTAAAGTTCATTAACAAACTAGTTATTTATTGTTATTATTCTGATAACTAATCAAAGGTACTTTACGACATACATACTGACAATCGCAAACATGTGCTCCACCTGCTATTTTCTACGTCCTTCGCTATTTTATTCACCTCCTGAACCTTTTTTTGCGGGTTTGACTATCAAGAGACGGAGTAGCAGTGTTACCATTCATCAGCTCAGGTTTTTTTGGACCCATCCACTTTCCACAACACCTTCCACAGCTTCCAAGTTACTTGCCTGGCCAAACTACAAGGCGGGTTATGGCAATAATGCAACGATGTTCTCAAACCCACAGATCTCCTGTGCCAGAAATGATCTGTTCTACGCAGACTTTTTCCACCTTAAATCTTATCCGTAGCCTTGCACAACTAGTGGATTTTGACTTACCTAGGAGTCTAGGACACCCGTGCCATTGTATATATCTCTTGTATCTGCCGAACCCGAAAAGTGAATTACGTACTAGCAACCTTTTATATTTAAGCCGTTTGCCGCTGTTTTTTCGCCTATCTTCCTATTCAAGCTGCAACTTCATTTCTCATGAATCACACTCCTTCATCATGGCTAACAGTTGTTTGTTGTATCAACCTTCTTTTGCGAGTTCGCCGAGCGACATTCCATTTTTAACTAACGTCGATAGAGCCCAAATGGCGGATCGAAAACGTACCACCCATGGCATCTTAAAGACAGCAAGTGCTGACAACAGCCCTAATCGGATTGCAAAGCGAGATATGATGTTCAATCACTGCCGTGGAGGGCAGCGCCGCGCTGTTAAACATAATATGCGTGACGACCCTTTCCATTCTACTCTACTCAGACCTCTCCGAGGTGAAAGACTGATCAGCTCGCTATCCTCTTACCAGCTACTTCACATTGTTCACCGCAATCCTCGGCCATCACATACATGGCAGGATGGAGTGTATCAGACCAATGAGGTGCCTATATCTCCAACGTATCTCGACAACAACGGATTCTACCCTCAACAACATAACTTGAATCTCATTGACGATCAATCACTTTCTGACGTTGCATACCCACACTACACTCTGGATACCTCCAATCGCAACTCCATCACTGTAATGGAATCTCTCTCTTCAGACCCACCAACAACAAACTACTTGATATCGTCAGCAGGCTACGAAATGCCATTAGCAGATGGTACATATAGCAGCTCCACGTCTCAAACGGCATTGTTGACACCGAACGTTCTTCCTATTCAGCAATTTAAAAATGAACCAAATACTCCTCTTCTTATTCCTGATAGTGATGAACACGGCGAAGAACTTGTTGGTGTTGGACTGTACGACGAACCTGAAGGAGTTCCACCATGGGACAACTCTGACCCCAGTTGTTTGGGACTGGGGAGAGATGGGGATTCGCCCGTGTCTTTGCAACGCGCGGGGGGCAAGGGACTGAAGCTGGAAGAAACATTTGATCCTTCCACCATGAAAGATTCGCAAGACGATGATGATGACGATGACGGTGGCCACGACGACGACGAAAGCCAACAGGAAGGAGAAAAAGAAGACAACCAGGGAAGTGAACAATGCAACGGCTATCGAGAGATAAACCATGGGGAGAGTGAAATACAGACACCAGAGGATTTCAAAACCCGAGTCGTTTTCCCGATGCAAGGATCCCACAGCCCCTTCGCAATACCTTATCCCCAAGTTAACCTCAATGAGCCTTGGGTTCTATCATCTCAACCGTGTGATCCAGAGGCTAGCCCTGTCTATCAACTTGATATGGCTGGCAGGTCTTTTTTCTTTGAGCACGAGCAAGACCCGGATTTCAGCATGGTAAAAGTAACACAACCAATGAATTATCCGACCAATATGCTAAGGCGGCCCTATGGCGGCTCTGAGTACGGTTGGGTATGATGGGAGAAAACTTAGCATATCAGGCATAGCGTTGCAAATGAGACATGTTTTTCCTCGAAGGATCATGTACTGTACTGTTAACTTCTGAAGAGGTCATTAGACTTTGACTATAGTAGAGGAGCGGCAATTTTGATTGAACAATTTAAGCCTAGAAGTCAATTCTATATAAAACAACAAAAGAAATATCTCTGGCCAAATAAGCAAAGGTGTCAATAAGTCGATTTGCTTTGACGATGTCAAAGTCTGATGTCATTCTGAGGGCTCTGATTGGCTAAGCTGACAATTAAGCATTTGGGATCAGAACTAGCCCAAACTTTAATTTCGCCTCATCCACTGCAAAGGTTTTCATGACGACGACAAATATATCCCAAATATCAATACTTTGGTATTGACCCGCGCATAAAACGGGGCAGCCGACCTTGGTTCCAATTTATATACGGGAGTACTGAGATTCCACTGTACGTGGCTCGTCACTATTTGTTCGTTGGTGATTACTCCTCTGTCGTATCAGATAAGTTTGGACAACCCACAACAGAACCTTTTGTGAACGCTGTTATCGTTACAATCCAGCCTGAGGATATCCGCTCCTTTCTGGTTTTCTCAAACCACCACATCATACAAGCCAGTCCAGATCGAATGGCTGTTGCACATGACAACGCTTTTACAACACTTCATTATCCCTTCCAGCTGCCCGTGTATATCCTTGGTTTTATTTTTAACTTTTCCACATTATCGTCAGTCAAACGGTTCCAAGTCAAACATGCCACGGCTTCAATTTACTCCGTGGAAGGAGATGTCTGAGCTGCTGGCCGTTCGCAGCCAATTTTACCCCCCTGCTTCTGAGGAACCTGCAGACATGCGTGCCAAAGCATGCTCACTTGTAGGTTTTATATTTCTAAAGGCGGTTTTGTGTATGTGATTTTTATTTGTCAATGTTAACATACTGTCACCCTATTCTCTTTTCAGGTTTGGGTCTGGAAACTGCGCGGGAACCTGCCGCATTCCGTGGAGGCAACTGCACTATTAACAGATGCTATTCTACACGATGATGCGAAGAGAAATTCCATTTTCTCTATTCGGGCGACTTATTCGGCAGCGTTTTGCAGGTGGGTTACTTCTATTTTTCAATTTTTGGTTACAAATCATCTTATTTCCAACCCCAGTATCAGTGGTTCCCTTTCTGGGGTAACGTCCGTTTGTCCGCCCCGTAAGTTTGTAGATTACTTAATTGTTCCAACACAGATTTGTTACCGGACTAGTGGACTCGAAATTGTACGGAAGGAAGCAGACTATGTTCCAAAAGGCAATGGAATTCGGTTTACCAGCTTCATTTGTGGAATTACGCCACGAGGCGACGCATAGGGAGTTGCCATCGCTTTCTGTACTGCGAAATGCGGCTCATCGGTCCCTGCAATGGCTCTGGAAGTTTTACTGGGTTGGTTTGCCCGATATCGCAACGGCAGACCCCGGTATTGGTACTCCAGGGCTCAGTGACGGCTCTCGATCTGTGAAGGACGTAATACAGCAGTCGTTGAAAACCGTAGTATTTCGTGAGAATAGCCCGAGCGAGAACTCTGCGAAAAGGAAACGACCTCGAAAGTTAGAGTCGGCCCGGGTGCTAGAAAATCTCACATCGATTTGCAGCCAACAAGGAGAAGGGGCTGTTGTTGAAGTGCTTTTAGAGGAGGGTTTTCTTGTTCCAGCCAGCAGGACGTTAGTATTTCAGACACCATACAAAAACCGTGCCTTGTTTTGCTAATGCTATGGTTCAGCCTTGGAAATCCAATGGAGCCCGTGTTTTCAACATGGGATGGATATTTAAAAGAACTGTGTCAACAACATGCAACGTTTCTCACCGTTCTAAGCGGTGAGCTAGCCCGTGTCCTTATCGATTCGGATAGCACGGCCTCGGAGAGAGATCCGTATAAGGAGGCTGTATATCTATGGCTGCGTCACATTTTAAACTCAAACTCATGGGCTACAGTCAGAAAGCTGAACCTTTCGATGTGTTACGTCAACGCAGTCTGTAACGATGCTTCGGGTTATTGGGTTGACCATCTTCGATCACCAGTTGATCAATATTCACATAACTTGGATACAGACATACAGATGGAAGCCGGCGGGTACGTTACTTCAGAGATGGGGAAAGGTAATGATGCAGTTGTAAGTGGGACGGAGGATGGCTCCCTTCCCAGTGCTACGGACATGCAAGCAGACTCAGACTCGAATATACTGCGAAGCTGTGGATGGAATATAAACGGAAGCTGGAGGTTCAAATCCATAGGTGTTATCTAAAGAACACATGTATCCATTAATAATAGAGCGAGCTCTAATATAAATCTTAACTAAGACATGTAGCGTATTTTGTCGTTTGGTGGTCAAACATGGCAGTAGGATGTGTAAGATATCAAACATACAGGCCATATCAGCAGGTTTCAACTTTTGCGAATAAAAATTATCCATAGACCTATTCCTTCATAGAGATAATACGTTTTGGAGAAGAAAATAAACGGCCACCAATCAAGAACAATATTAACAGTTGCAGCAACATGTGTCTTGTCTATTTGCGATCCTCAATCTGCGGGGTGACTAGCAAGAATAGCCGGGGCGAATCGGAAAGACCTGCCTAGTGTTGAACACATTTCAACGTCATACCTCGCATCGAATCCAGACAACCCCCGCACCAGGTATATAATTACGAAGCAATCAACGAGGAGGCTACTGCATTAGATCACATCAGTAATAGATTAATCTCCAAAATCCATGATCGCAAGCAGGGCCTTCAATCGGTTGTTAACCCCCGGTATATCAATATTTAGGCGCAAAATGCATATCGAATCTATTCCGATGTGTAAGCTTTCCCCAATTATATGATAAATAGCAAGGAAGCTGAAATGAAACAACGACGATAGGGACCGGGTCGGGCAACAATTATGCCTACCTGATATCCGACGAGCCGTCAAAGGAAACAATGGTGGTGGACCCCGCAAATCCTCCGGAGTAGGTAACCATCGTAGTTGCAATGCATACTGAGATGCCGTTCCCATTTATTCTCACACTAACATTCTCTTATAGAGCCATCCCGGTTCTGAAATCCCATATCGATAGCGGTAAAATTAACCTCAAAGCGATCATAAACACTCATCAGTCAGTATCTGCACCTCCAGTTGTATTATCGTAAGCACTAAGGAACTAAATTTCTGTCCAGTCACTACGACCATGCCGGTGGAAATGATAGGATCGTAAGCTACCCAACTCCATTCCACTGCACGAAATATCATGGATATATAAAAAGAAAATAAGGAACCATCAGCCAACTTACTTGCCCACTCTGTGTTCATGCAGCTCAAAGAATTCGGAAAGTTACCTATCATAGGGGGAAAAGATTGTCAGTCCGTCACCAAAACTCCTAAACACGGAGAGACATTCAAAATCGGGGAGCGTATTAAGGTAACTGCTCTGCATACGCCATGCCATACCCAGGATAGCATCTGCTATTTCGCGGAGGATGGGGATCAGCGTGTCGTATTTACGGGGGATACGCTTTTCATTGGAGGTATGTCCATCATATTTGCTTCGTCTCCAAAGCAAACTATATATATATATTGTTTTTCTTACATCCTTACCTGATATGTGTTTATTACCTTCTGGAACTGATAAAATAATAATTTTGTAGGATGCGGCCGATTCTTCGAAGGAACTGCTCAACAGATGCATATCGCGCTCAATGAAACACTTGCTAATCTTCCAGATGATACTAAGATCTATGTAGGTTGCATCCTGTTTCAAACGAATAGAATAGGGGACTCATGTTTGAATACATACGCCTCTGCTAACTGGCCCAACCTGGTATCGCAGCCCGGCCACGAATATACAAAACAGAATGTGAAATTCTGCATTTCAGTATCTCGGACAGAGCCAATCAGACAGCTAGAAAAGTTTGCGGAGGAGAATAAGGAGACCCAGGGCAAATTTACTATGGGTGAGGAGAAGGTATGTCTGTATTAGCCTCTCCAATGCGCTATTTCAGTTGCTCTTATGCGGCCCTACCATTGAAGAACATCAATGGAAAGTCAATTTTCTGACACTGTTATCTTACAGCTACATAACGTGTTCATGAGGGTCAATGTAAGTCCTCCTTTTATTGTCTCGTTATTTCATCTTCCAACTTACGCAGACTAGCATTCAATCCAACTTGCCACATAATGTCTAACTCTACATCTCTCAGGACCCCGAAATCCAAAAGGCGACGCAGAAGACGGATCCTGTTGATGTGATGCATACCCTGCGGGAGATGAAAAACAATATGTAAAATGAATACTGGCTCGATTATCAAAAGGGGTGAAGACGGATTTATATTGTTTATTTAGGTCTATTTTTTGCTTTGGCTGTGCCTGCATGTATGTATGTTGTAAGAAGACATATAGGATTGGGTGTGCCAGAGGAATGTGTTTGAAATATGTAATGGCTGATGTTCTCAAATCGAATACCCAACGATTTGTTATGGCTGGTGTAGTCTATTTTCCTTGGTATTATATTCTGCATAGTGAAGTGAATGATGGGCAGTCCACCACATGTATCCTCATGGTGACCTGCAATGCTGAAAAATATCTGGACATACATATCCCAATCGGTTCCTGTGGAATGTATCTAAAGGCAGGGGTAATAAACCTTGAATATAAGTAGGAGCTACTCGCGACAATATTCCAACTGTCAACGAGAAAAAGTAACTACCGCTAAGGAGAGAAGGAGAAAAACTCACCCTTCATCCATTCATCATGTCTCAAACTCTGGGTCCGATCAACAAAGTGTGTGCACATCTTCTATGCCTCTGATGACACGCACTGTGTCGAAGCCGCTCACTACTGTACAAAGGCGAACGACGGCGCGCACAGGCATATGTGCAGATAACTCTGGCCTCTCACGAAATTCTCCTGCCGCTACTCCGATGGATGGATGGCTAACTGCGAGTTGAACCTCAGATATGCGTAAGTGTATCATTTGTGAATCTCCTGAACCTGGAGAGCAGCTCATTGACATCGAGTACATGATTTCTCAGAAACTAAATGAAAAGCTGCCAGAAAAGGAGCAATTGCTTTGGCATTCGCACGAATATGAGGTGAAGAGTGGGCTATTGCTAATACCCCCTTCACCAAATATCACAATATAGTGAACCGCTTTATTCATGGAATCTCATTCATCTATCCATTTTTTTCTAGGTGAGGTAATGAAAGGAGTGAGGAGTATGAAAGAGACCGGTGTAATATCAATCAGCTAACCATATTTCTTATCTATTACCCGATTGACCAGGCCTTGAGTGCGAAGTTCGAAAAAGTTAAAAAAATTGAGTTCTTGCAGCTTTCCACGTTTTACAGCAAGGTATATCATCTGTGGCAGATCAATAGGGCTGACCAATTACCCATGGGTGAGCCCCAATTGATGGCTAGTGTCACGTCCGATAAAGCATTGAACAAGGCGCTTCCCAGCGGCAAGGCGAAGTTGAAGGAATCTCACAAGTCGATATTTGGGGAGGATGTTGAGAGAGCGTTGAGAAGAAGGATTGGGCCCAAGGTTTCCAAATTCACTACAGGATGTTACTCCCAGGGTCCGATATATATACACCAATATATATTTCTCCTTCCCTTCCAGGTGTTTGAGTGTTATGCGTTGTTGGAAGGCTGGTGAAATTGATATTGACTAAAAGTTTACCGGCAGATGCCGATTCCATGTGGAAGAAATAGGTTCGCTGAGACTTGGGACAAGTAAGACCTCATAGAAGAGGAGTTCAGCCTTTGGAGATGGGCTTGAGGTGTTTTTGGCCCGGAGACGCTCAAAACGAAGCTTCAGAACCTGGAAGCCAACTGGTGTCCTGGCCAGAAGCTGTCATGACGTTAAAATGGCCTAATTTGTGGGCAATAATGCTTGGTCAAAATTTGAACGCTTGCGTCTTAATGACATGACAGCACTCAAAAGAAGAAAATGAATTAAATAAAAATAGTGAAATAATAATAATCAACATAGCAATCTGAATTGTAAAGGTAAAGAATAATATGATTGTCTATGTAGGAAAGAAATGTCTCCCAACCATGCCCATTCAGCTTTTCACCATCCATACTTAAATGGATCAGAAGTCAAATCTGGCGTTCGGGGATATCTCTGCCATTTTGGCGGCAAAAAGAGACACACAGTTGTAATATTGCTTCACTGTCCACACCTGTGCGTCCTGGAATGTATTATGAAGACGACGGGCTCTAGCATTATAGAAGCGTTTCATCCTTTGTCAATGATTTTTGTAGTCTCTCCGAGGCATTTGGAAAGAGTAAGTTCGGATGTTAGGCTTGTCGGTACTAAGAGTCCCAGAACGAGTGGGGAGGAGGGAATAATAAGGAACGTGGACGTCGACCCTTAATAGGTGAAGGTTATAGCTGTACCAAGTGGTAAAACTGCCAACGCTGTGTAGGGAGAAGTATTTCATCTAATGGCTGTGTTAAAGGGCCGAAGCGAAATGGGGGAAGAATTCACCAGAAGGGTCGCGTGGCCAATATTCAACGGAAGGCTCATTGGCTGGGGAAAGTAGAATAATTCGTGCCATTGAGTCCGGAAGTTAGCATATTAAGGTCGTTTAAATCAAACTTAGGGATTCCGGGTTATAAAACGACATAATGGGAAATCATTTCGATTCAACTTGGTGATGTCAAAAGAATTGACGGTGTGAAGAAGAAAAGAAAAGGGATTGGAAGTCAAAAAAAAAAACTTTGGAATTCATTGAAAGTGCGCAAACGGTAGAACGTTTGCCCGTTGCTCTCTCAGACGTAATATTATGTCAGCCAATCACCCAATCGCCATAATTAACTAGTTAATTTAGCCAATTGCACACTCTCTCGATGGAGCCACCAAAAATTGTTTCCATGATTCGATTCTACCTCACCAGAGGATGCGAGTAATCCGCCAAAAGACACCTCAATGAATGGCCGCATCCTGATCACCCTCATAATAAAACGGACGGTTCCCACCGTCCTGGGTGGATTAGCCGTTCTCGGGGGCGGGAAACTCTTCAATGAGCACTGCTACTCCTACCAAGCCTGCTCCGGCCCCTCTATGTACCCGAACATAAATTACCGGGGCCAATGGCTTCTTATTTCTAAATTCCACAAGCACGGAAAAGGGCTCAATGTGGGGGATCTGGTCGTATTCAAGAGTCCGCTTTTTCGAGGGCGGACGTCGACCAAGCGGGTGCTGGGCATGCCGGGGGACTTCGTGTTGAAGGATGCACCGTCGCCTGGGGATGACGGGAAGGGGTGCGAGGATGCAGAGATGATACGGGTTAGAAATTGCTTCTTTTTCTTATATTCTTCTGCTTTATTTTTCCAGGCAATGTTGCTGTTTTACTGTTTCTGACTGCTTTTGGTGAATGCTAGGTCCCCGAAGGCCATATCTGGGTTATTGGCGATAATTTGCCATGGTCGAGGGACTCGAGATTACACGGACCCATCCCGTTAGGATTAGTGGTTGGTAAAGTTATTGCACTAGGGAAAACTTATTCGTTTCCTAGATGGGCACGGAATACCTTAGAGCCTGCTAAGTTTTCCGACGATTGAGTGTTGCATTTGCTGGCTGGAGTTGGAAAGGGAGTTAGTTCATTTTTGCCATTCTTTCTTGGGATGTGTAAATTGTAAAATCAAGTGTACTATAAAGCTACTATACAATATATTGTAACAATTCCTTAAAAATCAATGGACATAGACACGCAAGTACAACAAAACAGTCTTATCTAAATGAGGATGGGTTCCTTCTCTTGTATGGCAGAGGTTCAATCCTCTTTCTCAGGAACTCAATATCTGCGCCTGGAATACCAAACTCGTTCATCACAGATTCGGTGTTCTCGTCCCATTTGCTTCTAAATAGATGAGCTCCAATGGGTTTTAGCTGGTGTCGCGTCAGTATGCTTCGAAGGCAGAAGTCTTCACGCTGCACCTTCTCTGCCACCTTCTTCAAATCCAAAGCTGCCTGATCCTTCTGCTCCAACACAACGACAGAGAGTCGGTGATACGGACTTCCTTTTTGAGCATAAGGAGGAAACCACGTAAAAATGACCTGATTGTCTGTTGAGAGCTTGTCCAAGGAAATCCGGGGCTCGTTAGGCGAGATCGGCACATTAATGGCAAGGAAGTGACATCGGAACCCAAATGTGTCGTGTTCGAGATCGGGGACATCCGAATCCACAACAGCAATTGTCAACAGTTTCTCGCCTCGCTCAAAGCTTTGGACGTTCAGCTTGGCTGGGATCGAGCTGACTCGAGAATCGACGAATTCTCCAGGAGGTATTACTCGTCTCCCAAATGCTAATTTCACATCGACTATAGGATCTAGATGTGGAAGCACATCGGGAACCACTTTCATTTGAGTTATACGCTGGACGATGATCTTGCGTCTATATTCTCTCCATTTTTTATCAGCGAGGAATCGATATATTGGCAGATTCATATCACCTAGTCGAACGACTCTTAGTTCCCATTCTAGTAGTACAGTTCAGGATCCTTGTAAACATACCAAGGCCGTCCTCAAATCGCTTCTTAATCACAGGATCGTTGATATCTGCCTGAATTTTCAAGTACTCCAAGTGCTTCTCCATGCTTCTGAGCCGGTTATTCTTTTGAAGTTCTCCTCCAACGGTTGCAGGGTCAGCCGCACGTAATCTCGCTATTCTACCACTCTCTGTCTCGATTTGTTTGATTTTCTCCTCTCTGTCCTCTAACAAGACTTTGCGAGCTTCCTGGAAGCATTGGTACGGCAGAAGTTCAAATGGGATATTGGGCGAGTCCTGGAGCGCTGCGCGACGTCGACGAGACCCAATTGGAGGATTACCTGCCCGTAGAAGTCTTCGCTCCAGTTGAGGACTAGTTACCAGTGCTGGATCAGGAGCTCTGTAGAAAGGCTGGCTCGGACCGGTTTCCGTTTGCGCCTCTTCTTTGTCCGCTGGGGTGGACGAGAAGGAGCGGCTAAACGGGAGCTGCACTGCGGGAAAGGTGTTTTTGTATGTGTGTCGTAGACATTGGAACAGCGGCCTCGAGGCCAGTTCGCAATGGGTCATGATGGATATTCGTTTGTGGTCCTGAGCGTGGTGGATGTTTGGTTTTGTGGCAGTCGGAGGGTTGGTGAGCAACCTTTTAATTTTTTGAGGCTAGCGCAAAATCGGACAAGATCCAAAATCCAAAATCTGCAGAAACCCTCCATCGGCCAATTCTCTACAGAATACGCCAACAGCGTCGAACTATTCGATTTGTGTGGGAAACTATCCTCGCAATGTCTGGGAGCAAGTCGCTGGGGCCACTGAGGTGGCTCCCGCGTGGACTTGCTAGCAACTTTGCTCCGGCAATTGTATGATAACTGACCCCTTCTCTCGCGACAAGGCTAATTGAATAAACAGCAGTGTGTACCTAAGCATATATCACGGTCAATGACTACGGAAACGGAGCTTGCGGTCGTTTCTCCTTTGACTGCGTTCGCAAGCGCGCATGTTGCCGGGCAAACCTTGAACTCCGATGACATACGGAAGCCAATGTGGAATCCCCCGCCAGTTATTGCGACACTCTACGACTTTCCGACTATGGAACCCCTCAGATTTCTCAAATACAGCTCTCAGCATCTTCTACTACCTTTACGTCGGGATATATTACACCGTGCGATTGTCTATGAGGGCGACAAGACCCGGCAAGGTACCGCTAGTACAAAGTGGAGAGACGATGTTCATGGCAGTCGTAGGAAGATTCGACCTCAGAAAGGGACTGGAAGAGCTCGACTAGGAGATAAAAAGTCGCCAATGCTGAGAGGTGGTGGTGTTGCCCATGGGCCCCATCCTCGAGACTTCTCTACGAAGCTACCAAAGAAAATTTACGATCTGGCATGGAGGACAGCTTTGAGCTACCGGTATCAACGGGGGCAGCTGATTATCGTGAACGATAACATTACCTTCCCGCGCGATGTTAGCCCATACTGGCTGGAGGACGTTTTCGAGAAAAACCAGTGGGGGAAGAATTTTGGACGTTCGTTGCTGATTACTGAGGTCAAGAAGGAACGGTTGTTCATGGGGGTGAAAGAAATTAGCCGACACGGGCGAGTACTGGATCGAGAGGATGTGGATGTGAAGGATCTTCTCGAAACGGCCCGGTTAATCGTGGAGAAGCAGGCCCTTGATCGGATGCTATTCTGGCATTCTAGTGACCTTAAGTCGAAGCCTGCACGGGCTTAATAATATATTGCGCATAAAAGATATCTGACTGTAACATGGTTTGGCGACTGGGGTGTCCTTTTATTGTTTCAATTTTGGCTTTTTTCACTTGATCTTGGGAAATGATCAAGGCATTAAGATATATATATATATATATGTTTGCTGCGAAAGCGTGTGGTCAACTACCTGGTAGATACTCAGGTCCACCACGAAACTGCCCGTCCATAATCTTCTTTAAAAAAAAAAAAAATTCACAATTTTATCACCATTGCTGCTCACTTATCTACAACTATTTGGACTTCGTATAGTATAGGAAGTAAATATACATAATTGCTGCCGTAAATGCCGGCCAAATCGCTGTGCTTTACTCCTACCCTGAAGCCTACCGAAGCGCAGGAGGACATGAAGCGAAGCCGAGTCGGGAGTAAAATAACTAACCAGTGATTTAAGTAACTTTTTTTTTTCCGGCGTCATCAACAACGAGAGATCAATCTCCACTTCTCTGGACATACGTACAATTTACCGTAATATAACTAACTCCACTCGACATCCTACCAGCAATCCGCTGTGCATTTGTATGTCTATAGGAACTTTGTTCAATTGCCTTTGTGATAAGCATCCGCCATTGATGTTCCTTCGACTTTGCCGCCCCCAGTCCTCCACACCGTTGAGTTGGTTCTCACGGCCTTCCAGAACTGCCATGCCATTGAGAGCCAAAGTGACGTCTCCGGCATGGTCTGGGTTATCGAAGGTAAGGGATTGATAATATAGGCGTACTTATTGCTGTGTGGCTAGTTATTAATATTTTTATTTTTTTGTTTTTTTTTCTAAAATTTCGTTTGCCATACAGATGTCTACAGCGGCGACAGCGGCCATACCAAAAGAGCTTCCTGAAGATGAACCCGACGATGTCCTATTCAACAGCCTTTTTGGTGTGCGCACTATTGAGCTCAATCGACCCAAGAAACTGAACGCTCTAAATGGATCGATGGCAAGGAAGATTGTGCCTAGGTTGAAGGTACGCAATGCTCCATGTCTTGCAAGATTCCTGCAGTGTTCTGGGACAAGTTGGATAATGGAGGAAATGGATACAGGAATGGGAAAAATCACAGCTTGCCAACATTATCATCATCAGCGGAGCTGGATTGAAGGCTTTCTGTGCTGGTGGCGACGTTGCGGCTCTTGCTCAACAAGCTTCTGAAGGGCCGGAAGGCCAGAAGAAGTCTTCCGATTACTTTGCTCTGGAATACAGGCTCGATCACCTCATTGCTACGTACAGCAAGCCTTACATTTCCATCATGGACGGCTTCACCATGGGCGGTGGGGTGGGGCTCAGTGTACATGCCCCCTTCCGGATCGCGACTGAACGAACCGTCTTTGCCATGCCCGAAACGACCATTGGTTTCTTCCCAGATGTTGGGGGATCTTTCTTCTTGCCACGTCTTGATGGCGAACTGGGAACCTACTTGGCATTGACATCCGAACGGCTGTCTGGAGTGCAAACTCTTTACGCCGGCATCGCTACGCACTATTTCCATTCTAGTGTTCTCGCCAACCTAACCGGACGACTTTCTGAGCTTGTTTTCAAGGACACCGCTAGCCTAGGCGAGCGCCTCGACTTGGTCAACAGCACCATTTCCGAATTCTCCACCGGTCTTCCTTCACTAGAAGAGGAGCCAATTTCCCCTTCAGGTAGCCTCCGCGAATCCATTGACCGTTGCTTCTCCGCAAATACCGTGGAAGAGATTATAAGCAGACTCCAAGAGGAGATAATAAACAAGGAATGGGCCCAAAAAACACTGAAAACACTTGCTTCCCGCTCCCCAACCTCTCTAAAAGTGACACTTCGCCAGCTTCGCATTGGCCGTACATGGTCTATCGCTGAAACCTTCCAACGTGAACAGAAGATCGCAGCCAAATTCATGGCTCATCCCGACTTCGTTGAGGGTGTCACTGCTCGTTTGGTCAATAAACCACCCACGGAGCCGGTCTGGAAGCCTTCTGAGTTGCATGAGGTCACTGATGAGGATGTTGATGAATTTTTCCGCATTGATCCCGGCGAATCGAGAATGACACTCCTGAACCCCGATACGGACTACAAGGTGTATCCGCATAAGCGGTTCGCCCTCCCCAGCGAGAAGGAGATCATCGAATATGCGCGCAGCAACTGGAGGTCACCCAAGGCTGTCGACGAGTTTGTTCGTCAGTGTGGGTATAAGGATGGTGTACGGGCTAAGTATCTGGAGGTGGTGGAGAGAAAGAAGGAAGAGGTGTGCAATTCAAAATGAAGACTGATCATGTGCACCTGTGTTAAGAGAAAGATGTGGTAACTCCTGATTTTCTCCAACGCCATTTAATCGGCCCGCATTTGTTTCACTGAAACCACGGAGGTATAATCTTTTATAGATATTAGAGGAGTGTCTTAATGAACAAACTACCAAGCCCATTTCCAAGTTACGCAATTTGAAATCGAAATTAAAAGGTGCAGAATCCGTCATCAACCCAAGTGTATAATTCCAGCACAAAAGCCTGATCTGTTGACTAGAGATACACGTAATTCTATAATGCAGTGGAATGTAAGAAAGCACATTTGCGTGCATAGAAGAAAAAGTGTAAGAATAATACAAGCAGAAAAGCAACTTCCCCAAAAGAAATCAAACAGAGAATTCAAAAATCAGACACCAAACCAATCGGTCAGCCAACTTAAAAGATCCCCATCCTTCTAAACTGCAAACAAATATCCTTCCAGTAGTCAATAACCATTTCCATCGTAGTATTCATTTCTGGATCTCCCACAACGGAATCTTTGTCAACTGTTAATCTAATCGATTTTGGTTCCGCAAGAACAAAGCTAAACCGTTTAGCCATCAAGCTAGAGTCCGGGAGTTTAAGCCAGGTGGTAAAATTTCTCAGACTGGATATTTTGGCATTCACGTCAGCTGTGAAGGATAGAAGGCCGAAGACCGAACAGATAAGGTCAAACTGCAGGTCATTTGTCATGGCCACCAGGGCATGCGCAATAAGTCGGATTTTGGCTGCCATAGGAAATGGGCGATCGGGAAGATATTCACCTCGTCCGGTATCTCTAGCTACCTGAGGGTTTTCAAAATCATATTCCTGAATTTTTTGCAATACTTCACACAAGTTCTTAGATCCCAGAATACCTCCAGGCAAACCACATAAGAGATGACAAAACACAGTGGAAACATCATGTACAAAACCAGGTCCCTGTGCAGAAGTTGGTCCAGGGGGTGGCATCAACTCAGTTGGTTGTTCGACCACTCTCGTAGTTTTGTCAATCGTATCCTTTGACGTCTCTGCAGACAGCACCTGGTCGGCATACTGACTATACAGCTTACATACAACCTCATTGTCGCCATGATCTTCATAGAGGTAGTCGATGCCAGGCCCTATTATTGAAAGATATTTTTAGTTTTATGTTGTTGGTTTCAGGAAACTGAACAAACATACCATATTTCAAAAGATAATTCATTGTTGAAGAGAAGCATGTTGGTAATATCAGGGCGTGAGGGCCGTATCTCTCAGGTAAGTCGAAATAACTCTTTCCCCCAAGGCGGGTCAATTCCTCCAAGCTTTTGCCTTTCAATTGGTCGATAGGGTACCGTAATGAAAGGTTGGCCATTGTTTTGATACGTCGCAGTGTCCTCTTAGCACTGTTTCTGTGCCTCAAGCCTATATTTGATCTGACGCTCCGAATACGACCGAGAATTGAATTTGAGCGTTCAGGTATACAATCTCCTTCTAGATATAACAAATATGGTCAGAGTGATTTGTAGCCCTGTAATCTTATCTTTCTCGCTCACCTGAATTTATTATTTCCCTTCCGCTTTTTGTGGGAAATACAATTCCCAAGGCTTCAACAGAGGTATTGAAGCGAATTATGGCCCGGGATCGAATTCTTTCTCTCCGTGGAGCACCAGGGCCACAAAAAAATCTGCTGGAGATTTCGTCTAATGAGCGGCTCGAGGCTCTAGGAGGAACATGTCCCAGGGATGACTGCCCAAATACCGAAAGACTTCGTCTGTTGTTGCAGCAAGAATTTTGCTCACGGTTTCCATAACTAAGTTGCCTCTGAGGCTGTGGAATTTCCTCCGAACTAGTCACATTAAAACTGTACCGTAGAGCATGCCTATCTGCGAATGGATTCTTGTTTTCGGATGGAATCCTGGAGTCAATGGTTGCAATTGGGCTTTTGCAGCGTTTCGATGGGTCACGCTGGACAGTGGCCCAAGAGCCGTCGGACTGCATAGTCTGGTTGCTAGATTGCCTCGTTGACTGGTCAGGGTTCGTTTCCAGGTTGGATTCACTGCAAGGACTGTTGCCGTGAGCTGGGCTAGGAGGCTTTCCAAGATTTTGGTCCCGGTCCCAAATCTTGCTCGTAAGATGGCTTGCCGGTGAGATCTGTTTGCTAGAATCACCCGACACTTGGGATACACGTAGTGGTGAGCCTCGGCTGTGTTTATCCGATTTTTCGATGCGGAGGGGCTCAAAATGTGATTTAGAAGGAGTTCTGGCTTTTTTAGCTGGCTCTGGTTCGATGGGGCTTTCCCTCTCCTGAACGGTTTCGCTCTCGTGTGGTTGGGGCGAGTCCTCACTCGGACGCCTTTCACTTATTTGACGGTCTGAAATCCTCCTAATTAGGAGATCCGCTACCTCCAAATCTTCCTGTCTCACGTGGATCACCGTCATGTAAGGACTTGTTCGTACATGTGTTGCATCGTTGGCGGTAGATTCCGTCCGCATTGGGGAAGCAGTTGAATTCGTATGGCGACGTCTAGCACCCCGTCTATCCTTGTGATAATATCGGGATAGGTATCGTAGCGCTTCTGAGAACCCCATTTTTCTTGCTGGCGCCGCTTCCTTCCGCCGAGGGCTGGGTGTAAATTACCGCGGATGAAACTTGGAAAACTTGAAATCAGTGAGAAATATGGCAGAAGTAGTTGGGCGTTTGAAATGTTTGGAGTTTGAAGGAAGAGACGGACAAAACACATCAACAATACATCTCCTTTCTTGGGGGCCAGGGCAGGGACAACCCCATGCCCATGGAAGGCCCAGCCCGCCATGCCTGCCGCAACACCGACAGGGTCATCGACTTGTCAAAGATAGTTGAATGCAGGATTTGCACCAGAAAGATATCCAAGTAGTCCGGTCATTTCGCGGTGCGTAAAAGGAGAAGGAGAACCGCAGGGGTGATTCAAAAGGAAATATTGAAATAAAGTGGACTGGTCCTATGTTTCCTCAAACCATTAGCCATTAGCAAAGTGTTAAAACGTAAAACGGGCAAAATGAAAGTGAAGGAAAATAGGAAATGATTGCGGGCAGTGTTAGACGAAGATGGCTCAACGTGCTTAATCTATTGTACGGGGAGTCAAGGTAAGGTAGGAAAGACAGACACACAAACCGTTCTATTCCAGCATCGAACACCAAATTTCCGAATGGAAACAACAGGAAAAAAGAAAAAGAAAAGAAAAGAAAAAAGAAATCCCAATAACCAGAGTCCGTAGACAGGATATAAAAGATCCCAATATCCTATCTCAGTCCTTACGTTTTACATTCGTGAGGAATGTAAAACAGGGGGATTGAGAGGAATATGCAAAATCAGCCAATATGACCGTATCCTGAACCATACTTGAGTTTCTTTTGTCCTCTCCCTAACTCCATGCCATCTTAAAATTAAACTCCAGTGTCCCATACATATCTTAAAAGGTTACGTTTCTTCATTCTCATTTCGTTTACGTTTCTAAATCATGACTCATCCGGTTCTCCCTCAAGAAGGAGGTAGCGAAGGATGTCGCTTAATGTAAGGACGCCCTTGAGGCGGAAATGTTCATCTACGACGATCAAGCGATGCACTCGCGACCGACGAATTGTATCTAGGATTGTGTCAAGCCCGTCATCGGTAGAACAGGTGTAGATACCGGGAAATGCCTAGAATATGTAATAAGCTGACTGCCAACGCGAAATTCACCAGAAAAGGCCATCACTTACAGGTGACCGCTTTTTCAAAGCTTCCCCAACTTCGAGGTTCAGATCATCGTATACTCCTCCTTTAATCAGCGTTATGACATCAACGGCTTCGAAAACATTATATACAACACCTATCAACCAAGTAAGCGAAGTCGTTCCCGGACATACAAATATAAGAACGGGGAACTCACCTTCAGAGTTGATGATAGGAACGCTGGAAATACTGCGCTCTACCAACTTGTGTATGACATCAATGACAGGGGTGTCCATGGTGGCAGTTACAATGTCATCATACGTCCCGAGGTTTATCTCCTGTAATGGTTTTCGTAATTTTTGTGTTTCACTGACATTCACGGCTACAAATTTTAGAATGCGATACTGCGTAATTACACTAACTACCATCGGTCTCTCAGTTTGCGAGTCATATGACACGAGAGGTATTCTGCGCGCTCTAGAAGAAAGCATTCGCCGGCATGCTTCGTAGAGCGGCCGTTCAGGGTCAATAGAGATTGTCTCTGGTGGTGCAACATTAAGAGCTCTTTCAACTTCTAATTCAATAAGTTAGAAAAAGTGCTTGGGATAATATAGAGGAGTAAAAGCAAGGATGGGAGACATACCACGTAGACTGTTCAGGCGAAATTGGTCTATTTTTGCCAATGCTGCTGGATGCTGAAAGTAATACTGGATGACATTGATATAGTCTGACGTGGTGAGTAGTCCGGCAAACGTCGAAGTGGTGGAGTCCCATAGCGGAGCAGAAACAATTCCTGTGGAGTTCCCCGATTATCATTAGCCGACAGATTCCATGCAGTCCCTTGATCGGCGGTACGACCCTGGACGGTGATGCAGCTTACCATTCTGTGCCAAAATGTTGAGACTCTCTTTGACGGAGAGAGAGGTGTCGAATACGATCAGACGAAAGCTGAGAGGAAGGACGTCATAGCTGGTGCGCACTTTAAGGAAGTTTCGAATTTCACGCTGTAGGATAACGACAGAGCCATGTTAACACAAGGGCTCAACGAAACAAGAAATTTATTTCTTTTTTCTCCGCAATATTTTTTTTTTATAAAAATGTTTATATACTATATGTTCCAATGCCTGTCCGTGTTTTTATATCTGGGTGTTCTGATTCCATCATGCCAACGTATAACTTGTATAGGTGCGTCCCGATTCGATTCAGATATAAAGGGAATACAGGCATGGGCCAAAGCCGGGGGGATAAAATCAAAGATAAAACCAATTAAAGGAAGATGATCATGATGGACCTACCAACGCTAATCGTTCATCGCGGTCAACTGCTCGTTCTGGCTGAGCTGGGGTCATTGGACGAGACAGACCGCGTGGTCGAAGGTAAGAAGATGGCTGCACAAAGCCCGGCTCGTGACTGATTCTCAACCCCGTTCCTGCCGATGAACTAACAGAGGGATCAACAATGGCAGGTCTCGGGGAGGAGGTTGGATGTGGCCGGTCCTGGGCATCATCGGTCATCTTGTTGGTGCGAGGATGAGACGGGACTCGGTGGATGAGAGCTGCATATAGAAAGCGTGGTCAATCGGGAACCACCTGGCTGACTTGGCTCACCCCAGGATAACTGCTGCAATCGCCTGCTGGCAGAGTCCGACAAGGCGATACAAGGAGAGGATGAAGCTTGGCCAATACAGGAATGGACGGAGGTTGCGGGCTCATGTAGCTGCGAATACACATTCAGAGGAGAGCTGGAGTGCTGGAGAGCGGAAGAATCTATACCCCAGAGCTACGAGGACCGCATAAACCCGCACGACTGAGATATATAATGTTTGTCTCGGGAATGACTGGGGGCAAGTTTATAGCATAGGACATTAAGCTGGGCGCACAAGGGAGAGCGGAGAAGTGTGGTTGGATATACGCAAAAGGTGGGGGATAAGAAGCTGGAACACGGAACCATTGATATTCCGACCCCCGCACAAAAGTCGGGTAAACTACGAAACGTGAAAAAGCGTTTGAATCCTATTTAGTGAATAATCGTTCTATCGAACTCCCTCCTCCATCCTAATCTCTTACGAATTTCACCCAGCTTTTATAGCTGCGGATCGTTTGCTTCACCCCATATTCAAATCTATGGCTTATCGCCCGCTAAATCACGGCCAAAGATCGATGAGCATGCGTTGGGACAGAGATATCCGAATTCGGAAGAATTGAAAGCAAAATAAATGAAAGCTAGTTTTGTGGCGTTTTTAGAGGAAAATTTTGGGCGGTGGTGATCGCTTGGGCAGCGAGTTCGCCCCGGTGGGCGCCGTTTGACATGAACTATGTATAACCTGAGAGACAGCAACAACATTAGGAAAGGATGAGAAGAAGACTTTCGATTTTTGCTGAAGATATAATGACAATGAATGATTAAAGATATCTAATACTGCACAAAACTGAACTTACTCTACATATCTGAGCTCTAGTAAGAGCTTTGACTGGTACTACTTTTCATATTTATTTCTTGCTGATAGCTGGAGAACCCCTGTTTGTAAAGTGATCAACACAAAAGTGCACTGCCTACACTGTTGAAAATGAACTAATGGATTTACATTTCAAAGGTGGCAAATAGACATGTATTCAAAAAAAAAAAAAAAAGCTAGCATTAACATATACCCTGTGTGTATCTAACAAACCTGACGATCCTTCGAATTGCTCTATCTATTCTACAGGCTCCGAAGAAAACAACGACCGGAGCTCAGAAACAATCGATCTATGTACGCATAATCCGACGGATATAGATCGGGTTAAAAAGAGCAGCAATATTGAAAAACTAGAACCCTTTAAATCTGACCCTATAGTGCTGTTGACTGGCAATGAAGAATAAAAGACACAACCTACTCCTGCGGGGGCAGCAGCGCTGGCTGATGCCTCGTCGGTGGATTGCGGGAGCCCAACCTGCAAACTCTCCAGCTTCTCCTAAATCGCTGCAGCTGGTGGTTGGCTCTCACTGAGACATTTGCCCGGTCCACCTTTCAGGTAGTTTTCGTGCTCTCCGATCTGTTTACCGCCTTTCACCCATCTCTCATGATATTCGTTTCGTCGTTGTTCGCACAGCTTGTTCAGCGCTGGCCAATAGACAGAATGGTCATATTCGAATTCCACTTCTCCACCTACGTTTTTGAGCAGCTGCGCTTGTGGAACATGCTCACAGAGGTTTTCGTTAAATTTGAGTTTTGCCCTGGACGTAGGATCGATGAACGGGGAAATCAGCTTGAAAAAGCCAAGAATCAAGAATGGCACTGGCAAAGAGTTAGTTTAAGGGATATTTCCGGATTGGATTTGATAATCTTACTATTGACGACGAGAGCTCTTCCAAGGCGTTCCGGGTAGTGATTTTGAAGAATGCTCATTGTTTTTCTCCCCTGACCAATTGTTGCATTTTGTCCTGATTTGGTTTCATTGAAATTTACCACCAATGCCAAAGATTCCTGGTCTGGTCCCATTAGATCAATAACACGCTCGAGCATGAAGACTAAATGTTGAATTTGTCGTTCGCTAAGCTCCGTGTTTTGTTTGGATGGGTCAAGATACAAGCATGGTCGAGCATTCAAATCATATCCAAGAATGAGTTGCTTGCCCGTTTCGTTCTCAATCGAGATATAGTCGGGCGTAAGCTTGTCAAGACCATATTCCCGGCGCCAGGTCAGAGTTCCCTGGAGACGAATGACGGCAGCGGTAACGTCCCACTTGGTAGCTCGAAGGTACCGAAGAAGACATTCTCGTGTGAGAAACATGCGATCGTCATCCGTAATAGGCTCCGTAGGAGCATTTTTCGCTGACGTAGTGGGGACCGTTGTCCATTCGGATACGGTCTTCAGAACTGAATCGTATTTCAATTGTTGTTCAGGAGTCAGTTCAAGGGGAGGCACTGGTTTGCAGTTCTCCAGGGGTCTTGAAAACAATGTCTTGATGACCCCATCTGCAGCTGATGATGGGAGGAAGTCAATTTGTCGGATGGTCTCAGGGGTCTGCGGCATGATGTTGCTAGGAGATTCCTGCTGAGGCTGGTTATGCTGTATTTCGTCCTCAGCTTCCGCTGCCATTTCTGCGGTAGTTATCTGAGGAGAAGTTGAACCGACGAGCAAGACGAAAAAAAATCTTATCAAAATCAAGCAATCCCTGCTCACAGAGTGTCGGTAGAGCAAAAATAATGCTCTGCCAGGTCTTCTTTATATCCTCCGCCAGAAAACAACGCGTAATTCTCCGCCTTGGCACACATAACACATCTCCGCACAAACTATGTAGGCGGTAAAGGAAATCAGCCAATCAACAGCTTCCTTTGCCAATTATCGGACCAGAATAACGCCAAGCCCTAAAAACGCGTGACAAAACGCGTCTTCCCATTAAAGGAATTCTCACCGTCCAAACTGTGTCGTCAACTTAATGGGGCTCTGGTCGCCATTGGGAACGACAAAAGACTCAACGGCAACTTGGATCCTGGAGTGGAACGGCGATATCAACCATGAAGGATACAGCAGCTGAACTCAATGACGCTTTTTCGGGATCCTGCCCGAACGGGGTTCCTCAGGATGTTTTGACGGAGCTACAATCGATAATGCGGCTTCACTCAATGTCTGCTCAAGACCTATCCTACAAATGGGATGCATACTGTTTGAAGATGGGTGCGGATGAGACAACATTGAATTTGGATACTGCTCGAGGGCTTAAGAGAGATGTGCAAGATGCATTGGAACGCGAAAGCCGGGTGAAGTCCCATTTGCGCAATACCGATAAACGAAGCGCGGTTTCAGTAACTCCCCGAGCAGCTGCTAATAGCAGAGCCGTATTTGGAATGTGGGTTGCAGCAGATATTTTACCTACTATCTTAACTGGTCTGGGTACTAATGCTGTGAAGGCTCGATGATTTCGTCCCGTCACCACAAGATCGAGACACGAAAGGGGGGAATGGCACTGCTACCAAACGAAAGGCTGCCTTTGGAAACCCTTCATCATCCAAGATTGGCAGAGCAGAAATGGGAATGGGGTCTCCTGCTGATTCCAAGACCCCACAACGGCTGTTGAATGGTGATCTTGCCGGAATACAGTAATGATCCCATCTCTCGTAATGCATATCATGCAATGAAATATCTGATGAATTGGACAGACAAACCCCTTTCTCCGAACGGCAAAATAGTGGCCAAGTCTTGGAGACGCTAAACAGTCATCTTTCAATGGCACAGGTCCCAATAGCCCCATACCAGGAGGCTCGTATTAAACCGACGGCAAATACAGAGCTAAAGAAGTTCGGGTATAAGCCAATGGCAATGCACCTCAATGAGGCGTCCGAAGTGCTGGATGACCGGATTGATGAATTTATGGCTATCGTCCAAAAGCATCATGGATTAGACGATACTGCCTTTGGCAGCGCAGCCAACCAAAGCACCAAGGAGATTATCGCAGTGGGAAGGATTGCTTCGGACAGCATGGAGGGAAAACTAAACACAGCGTCATTGGTCCTCGAAACTTCAAGACGAATGGGTGCTGGTTTACGAGTTCCCTTGAAAGTTGACTCACTGCCTTCAGTTCAGTTTTACCCCGGCCAGATCGTTGCCCTTCGAGGAATAAATGCATCTCGGGAGTATTTCACAGTCTTTGAAGTGCTTTCCGTTCCCTTGCTTCCACCTGCTGCCACTGTGCCGGAGATAATACAGAAAATAAATGGCCGACTTGGGGGAGGTGACACAGAACAAGTACTAAATATACTCATAGCTTCAGGACCTTTCACGGCGGATGATAATCTTGACTTTGAACCACTTAGAACGTTATGCATCAAGGCAGCCAACGAATATGCTGATGCTTTAATTCTTACTGGACCATTCTTGGATCTTGAACATCCGCTTCTCGCATCTGGAGACTTTGACTTGCCCGAGATAAAAGGACTTGATCCTGACACAGCAAGTCTCTCAGCCTTATTTCGACACTGCATATCTGCACCGTTACATCAACTTGTCTCTGCAGTTCCAAGCATTTCAATTTTCCTAATACCTTCAGTTCGTGATGCAGTCAGCAAACACGTCTCGTGGCCCCAGGAAATGTTACCAAAGAAGGAACTCGGATTACCCAGACAAGCTCGAACGGTCACCAATCCAGTAACTCTCTCCCTTAACGAAAACGTATTTGGCATGTGCTCTCACGATGTCTTGTACGAATTGAGGCAAGAAGAGGTGTTGGCAGGCAAGCCGTCGGAAGGCGGCTTGCTAACAAGATTATCACGATATCTGATTGAACAGCGACACTTCTTTCCTGTTTTCCCGCCTACTTCTAGAGAAAACCTCCCCAAGTCTGGACTCGAAGGCAGTATTGCTACCGGCGCAATGCTTGATACCAGTTATTTGAAGTTGGGAGAGTGGTGGAACGTGCGACCAGATGTATTAATTACGCCCAGCGTGTTGCCTCCTTTCGTTAAGGTTAGTTTATTGAAATTGCTTATGTGTTGCTCTGTAGGAACTTGAGTTAACTTGTTCCAATTCCCAGGTGGTCGAAGGTGTTCTGGTGATCAATCCTGGGACGCTGTCGAAGAGGAAAGCCCCAGGGTCGTATGCGCAGATGGGATTGCATCCGAGGACTCTTACAGAAGAGGAGATGAATGAGAAGCAAGTGGGACATAAAGTTTTCAATCGAGCTAGGGTCGACGTGATCAGGATCTGAAAAGAAATGGTTCGTGAATTACGTGCAGCGAATGTTGTTCTTGGGAGCAAAGCTGGTAGGTCTGGCGTTTGGGATTAAAGGGCTTCTTAGATCAAACTGGTTAATTTATACCATTCTATGTATTATGAACCGAGTATTCTGCATAGGATTGGGTATCTTATGGAATGAAATCTCCCAAAGAGATCTAGACAACGACAGGAGTAAAACATAACGGGGCAACCATATCATTTCCCGATCCTACGCCCCATCCTAAACTCCTCGAGTACAATAGAACCAAACGCGATGCTTATTGGGAAAAGCCAGATCCATCCCAATCTAAGAAGAACACAGTCAATAGCCCACTTTGTTCCCTTCGTATCGCTAATCCCATCACGCTTTCCAACCACAACCATGCCATCATCTCAAACATAAAATTCTCCTCACCCCTCCACCAACACCACCACCACCAGGGACCCCTCCACCTCTCCTAATCCCTCCAGAACCAGCACCACCACCAGCAGCGCCCACAAAAACACCAACCCCGCCACTCCGCTCTGCCAACCTCGCTCCACGCATGAGCTCCCCAAGCCCTAGATCTCTCCACACAACCTCCCGCCTCGCATCCATCACGCACGTAATACCGAACACGGCGTGTTGGTCTGGAACTACGTCGTCTTCATCTTCTGGATTTACGGGTTGATGTTGCGGGGAGACGTAGATGTCTTCGACAGGAAGGAAGGAGTTTATGGTGGCTGGGATGGATGAGGAGGGGTTGTTGGTGGTTGTAGCAGCTGTGACGGTGGTGGGATTATTGGCGTTGGTGGTAGAGGAAGTAGTGGTGGTTGTACTGGTGAAGATGGACGTGTGTGGGCGGTTAAAGTCTTCGAAGAGGTCGGCAAGGCGGGGATGGTGAAAGTGAATGTGGTTTGGAGAGGAGTCTTTGGACTGTTTGCAGTTGTTAGGAATGGATAAGTTAGGTTGTATTTCTTCGCCAGAGGAGTGATGACATACCATATTTGCTTGATTCTATATCCCTTTCCAAGCTTCAAGAGGTCAAAGGCGAAAAAGTCTTTTAACTACTGCCATCTTCAACATGCAGTTGTTGCAAGCAACGACTAACAGCCCGCAGCCGTCGGTCAAGATTTAGTCATGTGATATCACGCATCGCCTGCTGCACGTGATCTAGATAGCCTCACAAATAGTTATTAGCATAATTAACCTCCTGGAGGGAAGGATCACCGAACGAAGATACGCACGTATCAGTTAGTTACAGTAATTCTAAAGTTCCATCATGTGGGCTCCAAGGCTTCATATTATGGACTAGCGCCCGGCACACAGAATGGAGCCCGTAGGAGACAGCTGCCAATACAATCACTCAGACATCCTACACTTTGTAAGGGGTTGAATCCATGGTATCGATGACAATCCTATTAATTTCTTGATTGAGTGCCAATTCGTATGGTCAACTATCCGACAGGTGTGAAGCAATAAGTCCATCCACGCGCTGGGAGCCTACACTGAGAATGGGCATCCAAGAGACGTAAGGAGTGGTGCTGATCAATATGCCCTTATTATTTTTGCCGATGTCATTTATGAGTGCTGGAATCTGTAGTTATAATTTCCATCCGCTTTCATGGTGCATTCATGAATGAGGAACAACATGGAGAAAATAGAATGATTGTTTCTGTAAAAACAGAATAATAAAAAAAAAAAAAAAAAAAAAAAAAAAAAAAAAAAAAAAAAAGAAGTAAGGAACCCTGTATAATTAGCAGTATGATAATATAAAAGAATCATTGCCTGTCATATTAATAATTATGCAACCGATCCCGAAAGAAACTGTTATTTTTTCCCTACAAAGGCCCTATTGTATATCTTAAAATTAAGAGTTGGTACTCATCCGATGGACGATTGGGACAGCGCTGGGTGGTAAACTCCCCATCTCCGTTATGACCATATCAATATACTCCGCCGGAGTGACATCGTACATGATATTCAGCAGCTGTAAACCTGGTTTCTCTTTCCAGTGTTGGAGTGGGTTGTTCGGATCCATGACAGCTGGGTATGATGTCTCATTGTTTGATGCCGAGTCTTGATTTGTCTTCGGGCCAAATTTTTGGGGATTCTGTTGGGTGGGGAGTGGTAGACTTGTTAATTGTCTTGGAGATTCGCTGGCAGCCAACTCGTCTGCATCAGCAAGTTCGTTCAGGACAATACTGTCAAGCGCTACGCGGTCGGTAAATTTGACGGTCTCGCAACAGACGATGACGGGGATATTGATTCCGCCTGCCCGCTCCTTTGCAGTCATTGCCACGATAGCAGTACCGACACGGCTAAAAAGACGGCCATTACTAGTCATGGAGTGGGCGCCTAGGAAAACCTTGGTGGCATCTTTTACCGCATGGCTAACGGCATGTAC